TCTGTGAGACAAAAAAATTTTTTTCCCTAATGCTAGATTTTTTAGGTAACTAAAACTGAAGCGTGACTTTAGTACTACACTGTTAAGTACAAAGAGATTTAACATTTTATTTTTTATTTACTTATTTTACAAACAGATTTAGTATATAACTATTGCTTTTATCCTCTATAAACCCTTCATTATAAACATTACAGAAGTAAAAACCACTTCTCATTAGACTGGCTATAATAAAAACATGAACAATGACAAGTGTTGGTAAGGAGGTGGAGAAATTAGAACCCTCACACATTACAGATAGGAATGTAAAATGGTACAGATGTTTTGGACAACAATCGGCAGTTCCTCAAAATGTTAAACACAGAGAACCCTATGAGCCAGCAATTCCACTCCTAGATATTTACCCAAGAGAAATGTAAACATACATACATCTGTACAAACGCTTTTACACAAATGTTCATAGCAACCTTATTCATAATAGTCAAAAAAAAAAAAAAGGGAAACGACCATCACCTGAGAACAGATAAGTAGAATGTGGTATATCCGTACAATGGAATATATCTGCCAATGGAAAGGAATGAAGCACTATACTGCCACATGGATGAACCTTGAAAACAGGAGACTGAGTGAAAGAAGTCAAAAGACCACATATCGTATTATTCCATTTATATGAAATAGGCAAATCCATAGAAACCAAGAGTACATTACTGGCTGCCAATGGCTGGAGAGAAGCGGGGGGGAAGAGAGTAATTGCTAATGGGTACAGAGCTTCACTTGAGATGGAAAAAAAAAAATTCTAAAATTGATTGTGGCGATGGATGCATAACTCTGTGAAAGTACCAAAGACCACTAGATTATACACTTTAAATGAGTGAATTGTATGTTATGTGACTTATATCTCAAAAAAGCTTTCTTAAAAATAGAAAACATTAACAGAAAATAAAATAAAATATTAAAGTCAAAACCTGAATGCTACAGAAGGGACCTATATGAAATCGGACTATATGATACACTTCATTTTAGAATAGAATGAAAATGTTTGACAACTAGTCATACGAAAGCAAAGAGGGAACTTCACTTGTGGTTGATTGCATTACTGGCCCTGATTCCTCACTCCTCCTTCAATCTACTCCTTAGCCCTGTGATTCTGCAGCTACTCCCACAAATGGGCAAGGCTTAGTTTTGTGGTTCCTTGTCTTTGGTTTCCCCCATATGACTTGCTTTGGTTGAAAGAATGACCCAGAAATGTCATGTATGCCAGTTCTGAGTGTGAGCCTCAAGAAGTCTTGTAGATTTCCACCTGCCTTCCTATGCTTCCGTCAACTGTCATGCGAAGAACTTCACCTAGGTGCTGCTGCCCATTCAGTCTAGGCCTCAAAATAAATACACATGAAACAGAGCTACCCAGCTGACATACAGATCTGAAGTTGACCAGCCAACCTGCAGACAGCTATTTTAAGCCACTAAACGTGGGGATAATTTGTTATACAGTATTAAGATGGCAACAGCTAACCAATATAGTAACCAATACTCCCAGTGTATTTTGAAGAGGTTCCATAAACAGTGATGATCAAGGCAGATCTCGCCTAACATTCTGCACAATGATATCTTAAATTACTTAGCATAAAGAGTGAGCTACTGACCTCAAATGATATTTGATGCCTGTCCCCTTGAGCTCTTAAACTGAAAGTTGAGAGCAACATACTTTCCCATCTTACTAATTTTACTTTTTTAAGGGTTATTTTTTTTAAAAATCAAATACAAAATATTTATTTATTTGAAAAAAATTGGGGGCGGGCACCTGGGTGGCTCAGTTGGTTAAGCGTCTGTCTTCAGCTCAGGTCATGATCTCAGGATCCTGGGACTGATCGAGCACCATACTTTGCTCCCTGCTCATCAGAGTCTGCTTCTCTCTCTCCCGCTTCCCCCGCTTGTATGCTCTATCAGATATTTAAAATCTTTAAAAAATTTTTAAAAAACTTTTTTTTCAGATGGGGAAGAAGAACAGAGGGAGAGAGAGACAGAGAGAATCTTAAGCAGGCTCCATGCCCAGTGAGGAATCCGACCCTGAGATCACGACCGTAGTCAAAATCAAGAGTCGCTTGATTGACTGAGCCACCCAGGTGCCCTGGAATAATATTTATTTAAATAAACTATGTGTCAAACCACTGAGAATAAACACACAAACAAAATGTAGTCATGTCCTCAATACTTCAAAAGGAAACACTTTTTTTAAAATTTTATATGTATAAAATCAACAGGACTTACCGACTTGTTTGATGAGGGTTAAGAATGTCTCCAAGGTCTCCAGATGGCAAGTTGGTAAGTCTACCCTGAAGCACAAAGCTGGATTTGCAGGCCATTTGCACCTCTGCCTCATAATGACTCTCAATGACTTTCCTATTCTAGGAGCTGGCTATCTTTTCATTTACACTCATTATCTGAGCTTCATGATGCTTGAGTCTCTAATCTTAACCTTGTTTCTACTGTCCAATCACATCTGCTATTCACTGCTCTCTCCCACTTCTACTTGTTATTCTCTTCTGTTCTAAGTTTGTTCTAATATATCACCTTTAGGTCTGTAGGTTATTTTCACCATTGCACAACATGCAAAGACACAAAACAAAAACAAACTTCTAATCCCCTAAACTTCTGGTTTATGTCTATTCAGATGACCAGTTGATTTAATCCTGACCTAAGACTGAGGCACTGCTACAGCTATGAAATTTAAAATATGTATGCACTAGGCCAAGAGATTTTTTTTAAATTGCCCTTTCTGAATTATAATTATTAAACAAGAGAAAAGAAATGAGTTAAAAGAGAAAATAGACTTAGAAATGGGGAAAAAAAAGGCAAAATAAGTTTCTATTTTTAAAATATTTTTAGCTCCTTAAAACAAAAGCTTAAATATAGGAGTATGAATTTCTGAAATTGTAGCAAGAGAGACAGAAAATGTTAAATTGCTCAGAAGCTACTTTCCATATTGCTTATTACTCCTCATACCTTAAAGGAAATTTCCTGCAAAATATTTCATTTGAGCACAAGATTGAAACTTTTCCCTAATTACCACCCTCCCAGCACAAAAAAGGCAGAGCTTTTCCCCTTTAAAAAAAATAATATATGTCACAAAGTGCCTGTTTGGGAGATAAAAGCATTAATAAGTTGGTAGCAGCTGGTCTGTGGTCAGGTTGAAGAAGATGAGAAGTGAAGATGATGACTCTAAAGAACCTGTGGTCCCCTGTGAATGTCCCCCGCACGTATTCCGTTCAGGGGCTGAGCCACTTTCTCTTCTCAAGGTGCTGTGTGGATATTAGTAAGTTAGGCAAAATCCGGCCACAACCCTTGACCCAACTTAACAGTAACAATTTTACTTTAGTATTTTCTTCCAAGAGTTGTGAAATGTTAGGTAAGTATTCTCTCTTCTATGTGTCCTGTCTATTCTAAATCCAGCACCTGGTAAATTTCACCTCCAAAATACCCAATCTTTAAAAAAAGGAAAATCTATGGGGCGCCTAGGTGGCTCAGTCATTGGGCATGTGCCCTCGGCTCAGGTCATGATCCTGGGGTCCTGGGTTCGAGCTCCAATTCAAGCTCCCTGCTAGGCAGGAACCCTGCTTGTGATCCCTTTCTTGCTGTGTCTCTGTCAAAATAAATAAAATCTTAAAAAAAAAAGGAAAATCTCAGCTTCTACTATGTGTAGGTCCTTACACCTAAAATCAGTTATTTTGATCCTATGCTTACAGAATTCATGCAGGGGGGGAAGACAGTCACATAAATATATTCAATACAAGGTCAGAAAAATCATAAAAGGGCTGCCACATCACAGGATCAGAAAAAGAACTACAGGCATCAGAAGAATATTTCTCCTGGGCGAATCAGAAGGTTCTGTAACAAGAGGACAGCATTTCAGCAGTACCTTGAAAGATGCTTTGGACTTACATATTTAGAGACTTGGGAGAAAAGACTAACCAGGTATAGGAGTCACCTTAAATAAAAGGGGAAATGATGAGTAACCCAGTTTGGCAGAAATAACAAGCATTTTAAAGAAAATACAGGGAAGTAGGGTTACAAGGCAAGACTGTTTCGAAAGTCAGACCAAAGAGGTTGGATTTTACACTGATACAACACACACACACACACACACACAGATACAATTAAACACACACACACACATACACAAAACAGGAAACAAGACCTTCAAAAGCAATACAAGCTGAACTAGTGGCAATACAAACACGAGAAAAGCAAAGAGTAAATGTATACACATTCCCCATTAAGTTCCCTTCAAAACTCTTAATTGAAATCCGTGATTAAAATAAACAAATAAAAATCTCTAAATTTAAACTACAGTTAAAAACAGAAAAGTCTTGGGCGCCTGGGTGGCTCAGTGGGTTAAGCCGCTGCCTTCGGCTCAGGTCATGATCTCAGGGTCCTGGGATCGAGTCCCGCATCGGGCTCTCTGCTCATCGGGGAGCCTGCTTCCCTCTCTCTCTCTGCCTGCCTCTCTGTCTACTTGTGATCTCTGTCTGTCAAATAAATAAATAAAATCTTTAAAAAAAAAAAAAAAAAAAACAGAAAAGTCTTTCCAAGATCAGTTTCTCCTCCTCTCTAGCTTCAAATACACAATTCTCTCCTCTTATCAAAAAAAAAAAAAAGAAAACCAGAAGACTATGGCCCCTGTCTATATCAAGCATCCTATCTTCTTTCCTTATGTCTTTCTCATCTTATCTTGCCAACAAATGGCCCATACCCAAAGGATGCTTTTATTTCTTCATTACCCTGACCTAATCTGCCTTTCACCCTCACTACTCTGATCTTTATTAGTGCACTTTCACTAATGACTTTCTTTGCAAATTCAACAGTCTGTTTTTTCTTCATTCTCTTTGAACCCTGTAGCCTTTTACACTCTTGTCCCCCAAAATTCTCCATGCCTTTTCTTTCATCACTGTTGAGCTTTGCTAATTATCCTACTTCTGATGGAGCTTCCTCTGACTCCTCTTCTTCCTCCCATTTCTCAACTGTGAGGTTTCCCAAGCCTCAACTTCCAGGCCTCCATTCTGCCCTCAGAACTACTCTCTCCGTCTTGGTTAACTGACCCCATCTCAAATCTTTAACTTTCACTAGCCTCACAGTGGTCCCAGGTGGCATTTCTGTAACAAGCCTAGACTTGAGTCCCTATAAAACTTACATTTGAAAATATTTTTAAGATATCTGACCTTAATACTTTTTTTTAAAAGATTTTATTTATTTGACAGACAGAGATCACAAATAGGCAGAGAGGCAGGCAGAGAGAGAGAGAGAGAGGAAAGCAGGCTCCCTGCTGAGCAGAGAGCCCAATGTGGGGCTCAATCCCAGGACCCTGGGATCATGACCTGAGCTGAAGGCAGAGGCTTTAACCCACTGAGCTACCCAGGTGCCCCGTGACCTTAATACTTTTAAGGTACTGGCGCTTGCACTAATCAATGCAGAGGTAAGAGAATTCAATCTCTGAAACTAATTTTTTTAAAGATTTTATTTATTTGAGAAGAGCGAGAGCATGCAGAGGGAGAGAAAGGAAGAAGCAGACTCCCTGCTGAGCAGAGAGCCAAACACAGGGCCTTCATCCCAGGACCCTGAGGACCGAGCCACCCCAGGTGCCCCTAAAACTAACCTTTACCTCTAACAGTATTTTTGCAAGCACTTTTGAGAAATAAATGTAAATTGGGGGGAGTTTATAAGTCAGCAGAGCATATAGTCAAAGGTTTAAAAGTTAAGGCTGTCAGACAAAGCCCCAAGATTTACAAGTTTGGAAAGCAAAGCTAGACAACTTGGGCAAAAATTAAGACAAGAAAACAACAAAGTCAAGCACTGTACTTCAGTCAAAATGTCTGTATAACCAAATTGAAGAAACAATTAAAACTCTGCTGCACATGTCCTATTTAGGTCAAGAGTGAAGCCAAAGTCTGAGGCCCTCAGATGAGGGGGAAGTGGGTGTGCCTGGAATAAGTAGTGTGGAGTAAGGCAACAGGTAAGAGACTGCTAACAGCCCGTCCTTGGGCATTTTAGGGTATGAGTATCCTGTGCATTCCAAAGAAAACCAGGAAAAGACTAGGATTATCTACATCATTGTCCTCTTCCCTCATCTGAGTATATTATGAAGGAATTTGCCTTCTAAGATCAAAATAAAACTTACATGAAAAAACTTATTTTTGTAAGTTTTATTCAATTCACGATTTTTCTTTTTTATTTTTGGACTACGAAATGGGACTAAAAGAAGATGGCCTTATAGCACATTTCAAAGGCAACTACATTAATCAATGATAATTTGCAAACTATTCTCCTTCTTTTTATATGGCATTGTTTGGATTCTCAGAATGGACATCTCAAAGTTTAAAGACTGGTTATATTATGAAATGAGAAAAACCATTTCTGTAGTGAGGAATTCTGTACTTGGAACCTGTCTGGATCTAACAACGTAGAGCACAAATACCTTGTTTTTATATTTCACTTAGTAACTTACAAAGCATTTGCACATGTATTATCTCACTGAATCCTTGCAACAACTCTTCGGAGTAGGACAGGCATAACCACTGTACAGAATACAATACTGTGACTCAAAGACAAGACTAGGATCACAGTTCATCAGAGATAGAAATCACCCTCAAAGAAAAAATTTCCCAATTCAAAGAAACCAGAATGGAATTAGATCCTCATATTTTAGAATTTCGATTTCAAACCAAAATTTAACCAGTGGAATTGGCAGAATTGAATACTTATTGAGCAACCAATTATATTCAATATAATTCACAAACACAGAAAAACCAAGTAGAGCACACCTCTACTTTAGCACACTTTGGGTTTTTATCCCTTAGCGGTTCTTCACTATCAATACCAGAACTCCAAAACAGAGATTATCAAGTGTCCTTACCAAATTAGGGTGACACCCAAAAGCCAAGAAATGGGATTTTCTATTAGGTCTCTATTAGGCTAATATATATTAATTGCCTAATACCTTAAAAATATTTTCTAACCTAACTTTTCACAGGTGCTCAATCTAGTCTAATCACAGCTAATGCATGGGTCTGTTTTAAGCTGTGGCCCTAGTGAGACCTATTAATAAAATCTGAGAGGTAAGAATTCATTGTGAGGATCCTGGGGACTAACTGTAGATTTTCCCTATAAAACTGAATTTGGTACCTGGAGCCCCTCTAGACACCTAAGAGATTAAAATTACAGAAGAAGAGCATTCTACCTCTAACTTTTTAAGTGAGGATTGGAAAATATTACAAAAACTTGTTGCAAAGCTGTAAAAATTTACTGATTTATACATACAACATATAAAACCACTATTTCCTTTAACTCCCAAGAAGCAACCATTAAACTCCAGAAAATATATTCTAGAATTTAACAAATCAAGTCATACTTAACTGCTAGGGACAGCAATAACATAAGGCTCAGATGCCAAATGTAGCCAAGAGTATTTGGCTAGACACCCTCCTCTTAGAACATCCCCTGATTTTCCAAGAGATGATTTGGTGAAACATGAGAATGATAAAAACTAAGTTATTAATGTTGAAGTAAAATACAGTTACACAGAGCTCCGTAACACCTCAATTCATGGCATTTGTCATCTCTAAAATAAATGGTCACACACAAATCTGTTCTAAGAAATGCATGGACATTAGGCATTTTAATTCATATCACCATTTGGGAAATTAAAAGCTGATATGGTTACAGACTCTCCAGCTTCCCTCTCCCCCATCCTCAGGCTTCATAAGAAACCCTGAGGAAAATGATTTCAGTACAAATTTCTGGTCTTAGTTTCGGTTAATTTCAGTCTGATTCACGCATCACCAAACCATTATTACACCACCTTAACTATAAGCAAAACATGTTTTTAAAGTGAGCAAATCTAAAGTCTGTAATGCTAGACACATATTTTCTTTTTTTTTTTTTTAAGATTTTATTTATTTATTTGTCAGAGAGAGAGAGAACAAGCAGACAGAGTGGCAGGCAGAAGCAGAGAGAGAAGCAGGCTCCCTGCCGAGCAAGGAGCCCGATATTGGACTTGATCCCAGGACCCTGGGATCATGACCTGGGCTGAAGGCAGTGGCTTAACCGACTGAGCCACCCAGGCATCCCAAGACACACATATTCAACTAAATAGTTTCTCTCTGAAAAACCTGCATAAGGGGGCACCTGGGTGGCTCAGTGGGTTAAAAACTTGCATAAGATGCAAAGACCACAAGATACAAAGAACAGATATGTTCATCAACAGATACAATGATACACAACAGTAATTGCAGGGAAGTGACTTCCATAAAGTTCTAGAGATCTGTGTTATTTCTCATTCTCAGGTGTAGCACTATTTGCAAATACCCAGCAGGATAAAGTCCATTATCATCACAGTAGATTACCTCAATCTAATGCAATCCTTAGAGTAGATCTTAGGATACTTATTAGCCCAGGGGGAAGCGTTCTCATACATTTGTTCAGTAAATATTTACCAGCTACCCACTACATGCCAGGCACTGAAGAGAGTACCCAAATAGAAAGATTCTTACCCCTGTGTAACTTTTAGTTTATTGTCTGTCAACCCTTAGAGACACACACAAGATGAGACCATGAAGAGCATACTGAGGAACCTGGATTTTATTCCAAGTATGACCACTGAAGAGTTTTAAGCAGAGGACAGGCACAATCTAAGTTAAACTGTCAGAAGACCACTCAGAGGTGCCTGAGTGGCTCAGCTGGTTAAGCGACTGCCTTCGGCTCAGGTCATGATCCTGGAGTCCCAGGATCAAGTCCTGCTTTGGGCTCCTAGCACCATGGGGAGTCTGTTTCTCCCTCTGACCTTCCCCCCCTCTCATGCTCTCTCTCACTGTTTCTCTCTCTCAAATAAATAAATAAAATCTTAAAAAAAAAAAAAAAAAAAAAAAAAAAAAAAAGGTCCACCAAGGAAAATGGTCATCACGTGGAGAATGGGGAAAGGGAGACCCAGTGAGGAGGCTAACGGGGAACTCAAGCAAAAGATGGGCTGGCTTAGAGGAGTGACTGTGGAAATGGAAGTAGACAGATTCAGTGACAGAATCTTCACATTAAACAGTCTTGACTTTGAGCCCTTTCACCATTTATATGTTATTTGGCAAGTTACTTAAATTCTTTGAGCCTCAGTTTCCTTACTTAGCAATTCTTTAAAGCCCTAGCACCCAGAAAACACACAATAAAATATTATGATACTACTCTGGTAACAAAATTCATCTCGATGAAGTTAACATGTACTTATTCCCTTTTCTTTCTACACCAATATTAATCCTAACGTAAATCATTTTTACCACCAAGACTGAAGTACTGCACTGACTTCATCAAGAGAGAAGTTCCTTTAAAAAAAAAAAAAAAAGAGAGAGAGAGAGAGAGAGACAAGTTCCTGTTTTCCACAGAACTTTTGCTAAAATAACACTCACAAATATATATTGAGCAAGGTGTTTTTCTCAAATTAATAAAAATCTAGTTTGCACCTTCTATTTGTGTTTTCACATGAGTTCTTTACTTCCTCAGTATACAAGTAAAAAGAACACAAGCTGAATCTTGTGGGTACATGGTGATAAAGACTGTGGTGTTACTACCAATTATTTTAATTTCATCTGTCAATAGCTTTTATTTAAAACTTTATTAAGGATGGCATTACTCATTCTTACAGCACTGTGACAGCAGGAAACTAAGTTACCAAAAGCTCTATTTTATAAATACAAGGATTTTAATAAATACTTATCTGTAGCTTTCCATTACACTTAAAATATTCTTTCAACAAAGGAAGAACCACCCTCTAAACCTATCATATTCAGTCAGCGTGTTTTAATTAGAAGCTATGGGCAAGACAATGGCTAAGTATATGGGAGGACAAAGGGTAGTGTAACAGTGTCCTTTCCCTCAAGGAGTTTACAATCTAATGAAGAAGCTAGGTATTCACACAAGTAAAGGAAGGAAAGATGCAGACTGACTACAAGTATCCAAAACAAAGAGATCACTTTGAGTTGGGGTGTTCAGAAAATGCTTCTCAGCTACGTGGAATTTCAGGTGAACCTTGGGTAATGGGATTTTGATAGAATTTGCTGGAAGAAAGTGTGATGAGGAAAACAACTTTCAAAGACAAGAATTTTGTTTTTCAGAGTTGATGCCCAGCCATTTTACAGTATGATTATCTGTAATCACACCCAGAGTCTGGACATTTAGATAACGATTTGAGTTTAGGAGGCCCACAAGTCCCTGCTTTGCTTTTCCCTGGGGCACCTTTAAAAATAACCTCTAGAAGTAAGACCCCCAATTACTGATCTCCACCTCCATCATCTTATAAGTAATAGGTGTTTGCTACCCTACTCTGTATCTCCTGTTTGTGACCTGGGACAGAGGACTGCCCTTTCCCTGGCTCACTGAGCACCAAGGTTTCAGTTACCAGGGTCAACCAGTCTAGAAGGAGATGATTCTCCTTCCTACGTATTGTCCTTAGGTCGATAGTAGCCTAATGCTAT